CCTGGAAGAATGTTGTCCATGGGGTCCCGATGGGTCGGATGTGACTTTGCGACTAACAACAACAAGCATAGCCTTTGGAAGAGTTTCTGGTAAAATACTCAGTAACATATTCTTAGCATTCATAGGAAAATTAATTTTGATATTTTTCTGCATTTCCACATGTATCTGCTTCCATTTTTAAAAATCTTATCGTATGCCCACTCCATATGGTAAACAGGCCCCTCTATTTCCTTATATTTCCATCATTTTCCATTACAATTCTTATCCATTTCTGTACCTCTTTCAGAGTAATATACCACTGAAAATATGTCTTATACCAATTTTCTCTCAATGCTTGGCTGGCAGTAAATTTTATTTCCTTCATCCACAGGGCTTCCCATTGAAGGGGCGGGATTTCTTCTTCAAGGTTATGCATCCAGCTTATCATACATGTTTTTACTTGTTGAGTTTCAATTTGTCGCAGTTGCTTGTCCTAACAGATAGTCTTTCTGATGTTTAATTGTCTTTTCAAAATCTATCAGGTCTCTTACTGGATCTTTTTCTCTTTCTTTTTCAAATTGAAAACTTGAAATGAGTTGATCATAAAGAAGCCATTGTATTTTTTGCTTCATCTTTTAATTCTTGCCAATGTTTGATTCGTCCTTGTTCATCAGTCATGTCTCCATATATTATAGGATCATTATTTACCGTAAGTATTTGCCATGGCATGCTTCCACTATAGACATCTTTTGCCCCAGTGTGTATTATTTTACACTGCCTTACTATGAGCTGCATTTGCCATTGTGATGCCCATTCTCCCAGTATGGAGAGATCTTCTGGAACAACACCTCGCAATCCTTTTTGGTTCTAACAACCCTCAACAGTTTGGTGCAATTGAGAAACAGTTTGCTACTCACTCCTAATTTCATACTATGTATGAATAAGTTGAAAAGTATTGGCCCCGTTCCACTTTTGTATGTGCACTGAGCCTTTGACACAACATAGTCACAGCCTAAACATCAGAAATAAAAAGTTAGCAATCTAATTAAAGGCATACGACATGTATTAACTGGTGCTTTTTAGTACACAATTCATTCAAGTGCATATGCTCAAGGGAAATACCAAGCCAGGACTGAGCACTGCACACAGCTTGCTATTTCTCAGGTTGGTTTACCCGCTCAACAGACAATCTTTAAAGAACTGCCACAGGGCAGCAGATACATACGTGACAGAAATCCTTGGTTTACATGTTATCTCAACTATATACTTTCTTGATTGCCCCTGCAAGTCACCATCATCCACAGACCATCTGCTACTCGACTAAGTTGCCTGTTGTACAAATCACCCAATTCATGTAGCTCTTGCAACAAATGCACTTTTTGAACACTTAATATATTTGTAATTAAGATAATGTTAACCCCCATCAAGAATAAATTGAAAGTTCCAAACTGGAGCAAGAGGAAAAAACCATGACCTGCAATAAGATTTTAATCCACATGAAGCAACACCATCTCTGCCAGTGTTTAGGCTGAATAGCTCCGTATGGTATGTGTAATAGAGCTATATATACACCCACGCAAGCCTTGATGTAGAAAGTCTTTGACATTTTGCCTTGGAGACACCACTGGATTACTCTCATTTTATTATATCACATTAGTTCACACACAACCTCTTACTAGAACCTCTTAGAATTCCATTTCTGACATCACAGCAGACAACAGATTGGTACGCTTTATAATCGAGAGACAGAAGGTACTTCATTCAGACTTTAAGCAGACCAACCTCAGCCTATTCGCCAAGAATAAAGCAAGTCATCTCGAACTGCATACTCAAAGGGACACACGTCCCATAACAAATGATCTGTCATACAAAAGCTTTCAGAGCATCAATGCCAAGGCAAGCCAGAACTCCACCTTTCTCCAGCTTCACAGCTTACCCTCCATGGTCATTAAGCACGTTATCACCTATCAGCAGGTTTGACCAGTGAAGTGGCAAAACGCTGGAATCTAAACTGACCCCCACCCCAAAAAAAGGAAAAGAAAAGAAATAGTAAGAGTTTTCACACTTAGCCAAATCGGTTCTAGCGAGGATCTGTCAGGAGGACAAGGAATTAGACACGCATCATTCCCAGGAATATCTGCCTGGAACTTATTCTTCTTTCTTTTAGGCACCAGGTTTTGTTTAAACAAGTTTATGGTTAACTTAATAATTTAAGATTTTTATATTTTGTTATGGATTGTTCACAATTTAATTTTGGTTAATTTATTGGTTGTGTTTATTGGTGTGCGTGAGTATATTTTATTATGAGGTGTTTCTATTATTTTATTGTTTTACCATTTTATCTGATTAATAACTGATTTATTGTAACTTATGTATGTTTTTATGCTGGTCTAGCACTGTAAGCTGCCCAGAGAACCTTCAGGTTATCGGGTGGCATAAAAAGGGAACTAACCAACCAATCATTCATTACTACAGCCTTCCCCAACCTAGTTCTCCAATTCCCATCTGCCCCAGCCAGCAGTCAAGAATACCAGGTACAAAATACCTAGATTGCACCAGGTAGGGGAGGCTGCATTAACATTCCAACTAGACACAGAAATTTGATGTTCTGCTTAACGTTTGCTCCCAGCTGCAATTTAGACAACTACTGCCCCGTTCTACTCTAAAGTAGAAAATATAGGGACAGGCCCATAGTCAGAAGTGTGAATTTCCCACTATGTTTCATCCTCCCTTTCCTCAGAGAAGCTCAGGATAACCTATTTTATCCTCACAACACCCCTGTATGGTAGATCAGGCAGAAAAGGGACTAGCCAAAGGTTACCCAGGGAGCTATGCCTGAGTGGGAATTTGAACTGCCATCTTCACAGATGTAGCTTAATACTCAAACCCACCCTTGCCAAACCTGGTCTCCCCAAGATGGGTTGGATGGCAGTTCCGGTCACCTGCTGTACAGTGCACCAGGTGTTCATATGCAAGATGCCAGCTGGATCCATCTCTGGCATTGTGAATTAGCCCGCAGTAGCTTGCTGCCATGTGCAAACTAGGCCAGTGCCTGAGCTAGACAAACGGCAGGTGAACAAGCAGCTTGCAATGGTTAGGGGACTCCTGCCAGGCCGCGGGGCCCTTGGCAGTGCCTGACCATGGCTGCTCTTCAAGCTTGCTCTTTTAAGAATGTGCTAGCTAGCAGAAATTCTGTGGATGCAACAGCAAAAACCCAAGGATGAACAACCTGGTAAGTGCATGCAAACACAAGCCCCTTAAAACACACACACAACATGCTTGAGTAACTGCCTGTGGTTTTCTCCTTTATATTACACAAAACAATCTCTTCCTCTTCACCCAGTTGGTGGACAAGGACACATCAGCCCAAACTCTGAACAAATAACTTGAAAATGTCTTTGGATTTGGGGTCCAGGGCTAAGTGGCACCTTTGGCCTGCAGGGCTTCTACCTTTATCTCACCTCAATACTCATGTGTTGGAACCCACACTCACAACACCACCTCCTCGAAAAAGCAGAATTAAAATACCATCGGAGAGGCAACAACGGAGGTTCAAGGGAGAAATGCATGTGCTAATACAATCTTTAGGATGGACAGCAGAGTTCTGTCCCAAGAGAGCAGCGACCAATTGGCACCCCAGAGCAAACAGAAGGCCAGGCCTGATGGTTAAAAAGCAAACCTCCTGCTGGATTAAGAAAAGCCAAATTGCCACACCTGCAGGAGATCCGAGCTAGAACTGGTACAGACCTAAATTCACCAACTGCACTACCTCCAGGTTTTCAACTGTCTCAGTTGGCCTAAGCACCAGTCAGACGACCAGCTTTGGCGCAAGCAGCAAATTTTGGTCAGGCCCAAGCTCGCACACAAGGGAACATGTGTTCCATAGAGATAGTGCTGACAAGGGAAGCAGACAACAATCATGAGTAAAAGAAGGTATCAACTTTGACCTGATGCTATTTGGAGTAGGTGGCATCACTGTTACATATATTCACTCCCACCCACCCACCCACCCAACCCAGGGTTCAGATGACTCCTACAAGAGCTTGTGACATTGAAATATATTAAGGACTTATTCAAGTTTAGGTCCAGTTTATACCTGCAATAAACAAGTACCAACAATAAAATCTTTTCCTGAGCTGCGTACTAATTCACCCTGCAGGTGAACTGTGGTATCTAAATATTTTTTTCTCATCCAACCATGAGAGCCCCGAATTCCTCTCAAGTGAAGAGCTCGCAGATCAGAATGAAAAGCTTGTCATAGCCCAACATGTCAGCTTTGTAGAAGTATATGAACCTTTCTAGAAGCATCACCAAAACAAGCTAATAATCACCTTTAGTATGAACCATGACTGTACAAAATGCCTTGCTGCTAAAATAAATTCAGTCTAAGCACAGCTTAGGCCCTACCTTTAGGCTAATATAAACTAAGCCTAAGCAGGGCTGGCCCTACCTTTAGATGGACGCATCTAGCAGGGGTATTACTTGAAGGCAGCAAGCAAATGGTGAGTTATTTGGTTCATTATTTCTGTATTGTTACTCTGTATTTACAGAGTGGCCTATCAGGTGTCAAAATTACTTGGACAGTTGCTGGTAATAGGTATCTTGGTCTGAGGAAGGGAGAACCATTTATGATTGCCCTCTAGTCAGCCAATCTCTCAGGCCAACACTGTTCTGGGGAACCATGCTCAGCAATCTCTGTAGGCCCAAATAAAAATGAGTAAGACTGCACCCCCAATCAAAGCAGAATGCACTTAATAACCAAGATATCAGCAGATCTCCCAAGCCGAAGCAAAAGCATCAACACTGGAGAAGCGCACAGAAAATCACTCCATGAGAAGTGAAGTTATGCTTTCATTCAGTTGTACAATATACAAATGTGTGCACACATCTATCTATATATGAATGAATGAAAACACAAAGGAACAATTCATTGTAGCAGGCAACGGCAAGATCCTCTACAAGGCCAAACAAGCCCACCAACCTCAGTGCAACTGACTACAATCACAAGAAGTCAATATTACCTGTTCTGCTCCATACACCGTGGCAAACTGGACAAACTCCTCTATTCGGACAAACCCATCCCCATCACGGTCCAGGGCATCAAAGACGGCTCGGAGACGGGGAGCATCTTCTGGAGAACTGGGCATTTCCTCCTCTGCACCTTCAGCCTGCCCAAACTCAAGCTGCGGGCCAAGATGACCGGAGGAATGGAGGGCAGGAAACAGGTCCACTCCTGTGCCAATCTGGGAGCCGAGGGCCAGGTCCAAAGGGCTTCCCGGGCAGATCTGGGACTCACATTCATCCATCTCTTTAGTCCAAGGAGCCCTTAGGATTAGTCTGCCTAAGGGCCCCTCTTCGTAAGAAGCAGCAGTATCCAAGATCAAGTCCCTCTCCTCTGGTCGGGTCTCCTGAGTTTGGGGGAAGCCCTCTCCTTGGGTCAGTGCTTCCGGACTTTCCACTACAACCAGTTGTAAATCCTGAGGGGCCCGGCCCGAAGAGAGCTCCTCTCCCCCTAGCTCTGCCCTCTGCCGCCGCAGCTCCAAAGCCAAGGCGTCCGGCGCCGGGCCCAACCTCAGATCCAAACCTTCCCCGGAGCAATCTTGGTGATCACCCACACCTGAATCGGCACTCCTTTCCCTGATTGGCCCGTCGCCCTCGGGCTCCCGATCCGCCAGCGGCTGGTCCAGGCGGTACAAATACTCCACGGCAGGGCCCTCGGGGAACAGGGCTGGGTGGCCCCGGCCCATCTCCGCCAGCTTCATCCCGGTCAGGACGTGTTCTAGGGCGAAGGGCGGCTTGTCGCCCGCTCCCGGCAAGATCAGGGCGGCGCTTCCTGCGGGGGTTTCGCGGGACAGCAGCACGAGATCCGGGCTGGCCAAGGGCCCTCTGTGGGGCTCCAAGAGCAGGTATTTCCCATGGAAGTGCCCCAGCTCCAGCGGCTCTCGATCCGGTCTGGTCCCTGGATCGGAAAGAGTCCTGAACAAATCCGGCTCCATTTTCATCAGAGATGAATTCTGGAGGAGCGGGGGGCTGTTCCTGTTTGCCTTCTTTCCTCAAGTAGCAAAAGGAAGCGGGCACAGGAGCGCGAGGCCAGAAGGAAGGCAGGGACCCGCTTGCGCGTCGCGGTCACGCTGCCGCCGTCCTTTCAGGCGCGCCGCCGCCGCCTCTCTCGCACACCGGAGCGGCGCCGCGATGCCTCCGCCTCGCCTCCATCACTTCCACAACCTTCGCATCTTCCCTCCTGGAGCGGGGGAGGCGCCCCGCTCCCGGCGCGTTGGGGAGGGGTGCGGGCGGGCGGGCAAGAAAAGGAGCGAGTCGATCCCTTAGATCACGTAGGGGGGAAGGATTCCGGGGGGAGAGAAAGCGCGCGAGGGGGAGGGATGGAAGCGTGCGTGCGGTGCAGCCGAGATCCAAGCACGCAGGCACGCACAAACCCGGATTTTTCCGCGGCAAGACCAGGGCAGAAACGCTGCTTTTTGGAAAGACGGGCCCTCGCGGCTCCAGCTGGCATCCAAGGCGGCTCGAAGAGGTTCCGGAGCCAAGCAACGGCAGTAGGAAAGAGAACGCCCCCTCTTGCGCCTCCGCTTCTTCCTCCTCCTCCTCTCGAGTTGCCTACCCAGCGGGCTCCTACCGTGGCAGCGCTCGGCTCCCCTTGCGGCAGAGGCGCATGGCGAGTGCTTAGCTCCGGCTTCCTGCAAACCGGCAGGCGGCGAGGGTGGGGGGCGGGCGGCGAGCAGGGCTCCGTCGTCTCTGTCTGGCCGGCGGCTTCCAGGCAAGCTCCGCCCGATCGGTGGTGTGGGGAGGCGGAGGCTGTCTTTGTATGTGCGGCTCCCCCCCCCCCGATCGGGCTGCACCCGTTGCTTGCCAGGCGCGCGAGGCGAGAGGGGCGCGCGGCTTTGCGCCAAGGCGTCGGCGCGGATTGAGTCGGAAGAGCCCCATCGAAAGCAATCGGACGGTGGGTGGGCCCGGTTGATTTCAGCTGGGCTACTTCTTAAGCCTGACCAAATCCAGATCCGGCCCGACGTAATTACAGAAAGAACCAGATCAAGTTTTCCGTTGCCAGGGGGTAGCTGACTCAGGAATGGAAAGCACTCGTCTCCAGCGTTCAGGAGCGTACTGGAGGAGGTCTGAAGGGTGGATTTAAACCCAGTTCTCTCTGGCCTTAGATCTGCATTTATTTACTCAGACCAGCTTGTTTAATTGAGTATAGGTACTGGTTAAGACAAAGACTTTTTTTTTTCCTTAACCTGTATAGGATTGTGCTCTGTGAATTAGCCCCTCCGAGAATATTTTTTGTCGGACGACCTGCATTAAAAATAGTTGAAAGAAAAAATTTTCTACTCTTCATAACATGCTGTCTGCAAGACACCCCTGGGAATTTCTAGAGTCCAGTGCTGCCGGTGGAGACAGCTCTTTCCAGATTCCCCGCTTGCACTGATGCAGCAACACCATTTTAAGCCCTTAGCCTGATAGTCTTCAAAGACAATCCATGTGGACCAAAGAATGCTGGGAGCCCTACGACTTTTTCCCCTGGCTAATCATGCATAGCAATGCACCCTTACAGTGCCCATGAGCTGTGGAGCACACAGCTAATATTTCATTTTCCTGTCCTACCATCATCCATGCTTTACAAATTCTTACAGGAACAGAGGAAGCCTCAAACTGAATGGCTGCACCATACACTCAAGGGTTCAGTGTGGGTTATTGCAACACAATACAGACCCAGCTGCAGTACCAAACCATGAAGCGGACCCATAGTTTGTCGTTGGGCTGTAAGGCTCTCTGGGCAGTTAGCAAAAGTTAAAAATCAACGAACATTAAAAAGGCACCCAATAAGTTAAAGGAATAAAACCATAACAGCAGTTACTATGTTTCAGAAGAAGTTTATATGTTTATAGAAGCAGAGCAGCAGTGCGGTGTTTTCTTTCAGTGCTATTGTTCAGTGTAATGTGAAGCCTTTTACTGTTGTGTTTTGGTTTGTTTTATAACTAGGACCTGTATATTATCTCTCCCATTATGATCAGTTAAAATGTCTTTGTCATTTAGGATACAATCATTATGCATGTTTAGAGACAACTCCCAGGATATCCCAGCCAATTATCCTGGAGCGGCTATGCTGCTTGGGGCAGGAGTGTAGCACTTTTTTCTGTCTAAACAGGTTGCAGTGTTTAAAACACAGTACACTTGGCTTCCCTAAAATTATTTCCAAAAACTGTAAAATTAGACCAGAGATGCAACATTTCTAGAAACTGAATGTACCAGTGTCTGTGTGGCCAAGACTTTTCAACCCTGTATGTATGCTTCAGATTTATGGTGGACAGTGTATAAAAGTTTTAAATAAATAAATGAAATAAATATTCCCTTTATTAATGTTATTGATCTGATGTATCTTTTAGCGAGAGAGAAGTAGGGATGCTCCAAGCGATGCTGTTTCGCAACATGTGACTTGAATCTCTTTATGTGCATTCTTGACTCTTTGGGTTTTGTCCTGTAGAGCCCACTGTTCCAGTACTTTGTTCTGTTCAGATGCTGGGGCAGTCCACGAACGTGAGCATTTTACAGATACGTGAGGGAAACACTGTAGTTTACCTGCCACTCCCACCACATGCAAAGGACCACGTGGGGGTTTGAAAATGAAAGTAGGATAGCCCACAACTTTGACCCATAGAACTCTTGACCAGAGAATGAATCGGGTTCCCACAAAGGCCATGCTGCTTCAACCATAACATGGTAAATCACGGAGACCGAAACACGCCTACCAAACTAAAAGACACTGGTTCCTATGGTGCAGGGATGTGATTGCCCCCCGCTGACGACTCTTCAGAATGAAAAATGATGATGCTAAGGGGAGTTTACAAAGGAGAACTTACGGCCATTCTTTCAATACTAGCTTGATATTGCAGAGGGATATGATCTGATGCATATTTAGACAGGAGAAGCTCTACCTCTTTCAATGTTGGAAGAATCATCAAATAAGCAGAGTGGGAAGGGGCCGGGGGACCATTCGGTCCAAACCCCTGCTCCATACAGGACTCCAGATTAAACCATCCCTCTCAGATGGATGTCCAGCTGCACCTTGGATGCCTCTGGTGTGGGAGAACCACCACCTCTCTTGATCCTTAGTTCCATTGCAGTCAGAACTCCCCCCCCGCCCCCCCGAGCCATTCCTCACGTAAAAAACAGAGGCTACTCACTGGTCTGCCATGCTTCTGGCACTTCCCACTTCTAGGAGGATTCAGCAGCTTCAGGGACTACTACTACTACTACTACTACTACTACTACTATTATTATTATTATTATTATTATTATACTTAAGCCAAGGGTGGCCTCCTACGCACGTTTCGACAGAGAAAAGGCTTACATGCTTTATCTGTAAATTATGTTTGTGATACTAAGTTTAAGTGTTTTTCATGTGAAATGTTTTAATTTCAATAACAATTTTATGAGAAGACCATTATATATCATACATTTATGTTCTTTAAAAAGTGACTTTAGGAGCAGTAAAAATTACACAGAGGCAAGCATATGTTTCTGCTTCCCTCCCCCCATTTTTTTTCCTTCCCCCCAAAAAAGACCTTTGCAGGCAGCCTGAGCCACCACCTCAATTCTCCATAATGTTCCTGACATCAGGAAATTGTGGGAATTTTAATGGTGGCTGGATCTATGGCTTGGGGTGTGGAGTGGGGGAAACCACGAGGCAGTTGCTGCTGTGGCAGCCGGCCCTACCAGGGCCCAGGGCCCATGCCAGCGGCCCAGCGATGCAAAGCGCAACGGCAATATCCTCCACACTGCCACTGCAACATGCAGCAATGCTCACTGAGTGGTGTATCTCTGCACACAGTGCAGAAGACACACGGCTGGCCTGTAACCTGTTTCCTGGAGCAAAGGACCATTACATGGGGCATTACATCACAGACGCTGACGTTGTGGACTGGGCCAAAACTGCCAGCCTCTTTTAGCTTATAGCTCTTGCTGCCAGAAAGAGAGGGACTCAACTTGTCAGAAAGGGGGAGACTGCACAAAGGCAGGGGAACCCCCATACAGTCACTTCTGGGGGTGGGGCGTGTGTGCGCTCACGGGAACCCAGATTAACACCAGATTATTTATGTAAGCTGTCCCGAGGCGTTCAGCGATGGGATGGCATATAAAAACTCCAAATAAATATATAAATAAAATCCAGATAAGCTGAATTCCACCCTCAGGCCAAACCTGTATCCCTCCATTGCATGAACTGGTCAGACTGGCAGTTGGATTGTGGCATAACTGAGGCAGCAGGCCTGCATAGGGGACACACAACTCTGTCC